AGTGTCTACCAGAGGGTGCTGGTGGGCGGATTATACGGTGTGAAGCCGACGCACTGGGCCGGTAGTGCTTGTAACCTCGCTTCGTCGACCAGGCGTGGATGATCTTGAATCACGGGCGGAGGGTGTGTGGCTTTGTGTGGATGCTTTGGTTTTGATCAGTTGGGGAATCCAAAATTCTTGATCTTAGAACTCTCGAAGACTCTAGGTCTATATACCCGAAAAGGCGCTACCTAGAGTGCCTGTAGGCAGAGCTTGTGGTGGAGATGAGGTAGTATGTCTAAACGCAGTTAGGTCTTCACTCGTTTTGCGCCCTGACCGGGTCGCTGAAATTATTTTACAAACCCGGACGGAAGGGGGATCGGTTGGATAATTGAGGCGGGAGAATTGCTTGAGGCTAGGAGTTCAAGACCAGCCTGGGCTGTATAGCAAGACCCATCTCTACCCAAAAAAAAAAAAAAGGAAAAAAAGAAAAGGAGAGAGAGACTAGAACAGAATCTTGGTAAACAGTGACATTTAAGGGAAAGAAGACAAAGAGAAAGCAATAAAGGAGACTGAGTAGGAATGGCTGGTGAAAAAAGCAAGCCAGGACAATGAGTTATAAGAGGGAGTGCTCAAAGGTGTCAAGGCCACAGAGACCTCTTCCTGCTAGATTATGACGCTTCTGTAAAATAATAAATATAACCTAGATTTTTATTTCTAGCGGTCTCTATCCATTGCTTTACTTAAATTTTCTCTGTTCAAATCAAACAAGTGGGTTTTTAAAAATTAACAGTTCCACAAACTCAACTGGATATCAGACATCAACCTTAGGAAGTTTTTTTTAAATGCAGATTCAGGCAAGGGGCACTGTGCTCAGCCTTGTAATCACCCGGTACTTGAGAAGCGCGAGGCGTGGCGTGATCCGCCTGCAGTTATGAGCTTCCAACGACAGGGCCTGGCCCGACATCTGGCAAACCACCTGTCTCTACTAAAATACAAAAATTAGTCAGGCGCCACTGGTGGTACATGCTGTAATCCTAGCTCACCTAGCCGAGGGCTGAGGAAGGAGATCACTTGAACCAGGAAGGCGAGAGTTCGCACGCGAGGCTCGAGATCGTGCCACGCACTCGCAGCCTGGGCAACAAGAGCGACGACTCTGTCTCAAAAAAATAAAAATACAAAAGTAAAAATGGCAGATTCACAGGGCGTTTAATCCCAACAGTTTTGCTTCTGTGATGTGTGTGTGTGTGTTGTTTATTTACCTTTATTTTGAGAAGCAGAGTCTCTG